CATCTGGCACACACCATAGTGCAGGTGCACATAACTATATGCCAATTATACCACATTAAGGATGAAGGGATGGAGCTTCAAGGAGAACAATATAATTGGGAGTATGTGTACTGTTTAACCAGCAACTCTGTTGCATTATGTATTTGAATTGATATATGATTTATGACATGACAGGCTATACTTCCTACTTGGGATGAAATTTGTTTCAGTCAACTAGAGTTGCATGGTGATTATTTAATGGAAATTTTTGAAAGGGGATTTTTTATGATATAGCTATGCACTGTACATGCTGTTAGAACAGTGGTATGTGTATAATGCGTTTTGGGTTGAAATGAGGGCACGCCGTATGAGCTAATCCAGGTTACTGATAGGTATTGCAATTGACGTCACTGCATGTTTATGTCATGGTGAATACTGCACGTATACCATTCCCAGTGTAGTGCGCTTGTTCATCATATCATACCTTAATTTATCGACAGTCGCAAGGTGACGACTTTATCAAGATTGGCGGACACTGATAAACTATTGTCATCCTGATGGACTTATCAACAATTGTCTTTCCTTCATTACAAGTGACACTATGGATTAACAATATGTACGTGAGGGTTGGGGGGTACACAGTGCAGAAATGAAAGAGTTCATTTATCAGGACGTAATTGAGTGAAATACTGGGAGGAAGAACGTGTGTGTTGTATTGTATGCCCTCTTCATAAACAAGAAGTGGCAGTAGATGATGATAATAGATATCACTTGACATCATTTGAAGTAGAAGTCTGATCGACTGATTTTGTTCATTTGAGATACAATCCGCATGTAATTGATCATATGAGTTTTTGTTAAAATCAATTTGCAAAATGTGAAATATGTATGTTGAACTGTTCATAAGTGAATACTAATCTAATGTGTTTTATATACAGTAGTACCTGGATTCTGGGTTACAATAGGTGGCCTATCGTTAGAATACAGTACCACCAATGTTTCATGCACTAGGGTTGGGGATAGGGTTGGGGTTAGGGTTGGGGTTAGGGGTTAGGGATCGTCCTCATCAGAAGTTGTGGTACTGTATTCTTAAGGTGCTCCGAATAGGTCCCTTGCAGCCTATACTGGTTGTAAGAGGCGAATCAATGGATCAGATGGTCAGGCTCGGTGACTTGGTTGGTGGCGTGTCATCGTACCCTGACAGTGCGGAACGTTGCTCACAATATCAATCACTAGATTGTCGGGTCCAGACTTGATTATTCACAGGCCTCTGTCATAATAGCTGGAATATTGCTGAATGCACATCAAACAACAAACATTTCATGTACAGTGACACCCTGTTAATCCAGAGACACCACATGCCAGACAATTTCTGGTTGCATTGTCTGTACAGAACTAAGAGAACATTGCTATGTATAAATGATTCCTACATGTGGACACTTGCCAATCCAGATGATGTCACTGTGAACATTTTCGTCCTCATTAAGGAGGTTCATGTATCTTTTAAGGAAAATGAGTGCTATGCATCTTTGATCCTTAATCTAAAGACAATCTCATACAATAGAGATCTGTATTTGTTCAGTGTGGTCAAAACAGATGTAAACATACCGACCTTAACTAAAAGTAGCAATTTATCTCCATGCGTCAATGACTTCCTTTGATGTACAACTACCAATGAACATAAGTTTGACTTAACAATTACATTATGTTTAAGTACTATTGATCAACCATGGCCTCGTAAGCATATTTTACATGGTTCACTACATTCCTATGTTAAAACTTGACTAATTTCTGGATGTTCAGTGTGCTTTAGTCCCATCAAATTTGACTAGAGGCTATTGAATTAGAGTGAACATTCTGCCTCCTTTCATTACATCACACACAGGTGTTACAATCAACACGTAGGAAGTGAGTAACCTTGATCCCATGCAGGTGAAGCCTTGGTATAGCCCTGTGTTTAATTCCATTACAATCAATCTCGATTTTTAAATACCAAAGACTAATCCATGTTTATTTCAACATTGCACCTAACTCTTTGTGTCTGATTGGGATCAACCCTATTGAACCTATTACCTCAGATCCAATTTTGCCTGCTGGCTCTTTATATGCATTATGTAATTTGTTAGAAGGGGATTTCTAGGCAACTTACTTTAATGCTGCGTTAACATTTAAGAATATGTTCTTTTAAAAATTAACAATATGTAGAAATTTTAAAAATATTTTAATGTGCTTTATGTGGTTCGGTTAATGGGAAAAGATTGAAATGCAATTTACTTGTTATCTAGATTGCAGATGTAAAGTAATATTAATGTGTTAATATTTATGGCTGGTCATTTCTTTCAAAATGGCCAAAATAACAGAAAACAAACAAACGGATAAACATCTGTATCACTTTCAGAAGTACTCCAACTCAGGTACTCAGGTGTCAGTACGATCAGGACAAAAACAGCAACAAGGGAAAAAGGATGTTTCTTTAAATGTCAACCCTACCTCCGTAGGATAGGTGTTTTTTCAAACTTAACCTTTTCGGAGATAACAAAAAAGAAAAGGCATCCTTCACAGGTGACACCAGGATAAATGGATTAGTACAATTTGCAGTATTTACCAAAAGGTGTTGGGAGGGTGTGTGTTTTTTGTTTGTTTTTTTAATATGAAGTGAATTTTCATTGAATTAAATGCCAACGTTATATTGGCTCCATCTGTCTGGACATTTTTCATGTTTTTTTATATTTTGCTATCATATTTAGTGTCACTTTCGTCTCTCTCTCTTCTCACCTGAGCTGAGCTCGTTAGTAGCCCAGCGGGTAGGCACCCCCAAGAGGGCAGAACAATACTAGGATATTATTGTTTGCTTAACAGGTTCATAATACAATCAACAATACTATCAACAATAGCCAATAGACATTGGTCGTGTAGGTGTCAAACTTGGGAGATTAATGTTAGAAATATGAATGCGCACAAGAAAGTGACCTCTTGGCTGGGGTCGTTCCTTTACAAACTCAAAAAGGTTTAATTACTAATCAAAACGAAATTGATGACAGCTATTTGGTGTTGTTAGTACATAAACATTACCATGTTAGAGGGTAAATAGACCGTGGAATGAGCTGTTTCAGACTGAAAAGATTTACATCAATTTTTGGATTGTTTATAAATCAAAGTTTAGTCATTTTAGAAGATTTTTTAAGTGGAAAATACCTTAAAGTTAATGGAATGATTTGTTTTGACTATCAAATTGCAAATGTATATTGTCTTATAAATCTCTATTTAAATCTGTTGGGTAAACAAGAGCTGCCTCCTTTAAGAATGTACTGTATGAGCAATGTGAGAGTGATGGACGCCTGTCCTTTGTAAGCTGTGCACACTGTCGACAGTGAGACGGGAGGGATGCACTGCTGTTGCTGTAGACGTAGCATCCTAAAACAGCGTATGGTATACAAGATGTATACCACATGCCTAGCAAGAAGTGTGGCAGTAGTATTTGTTATACCAGTAGTGTCCATAGATGTTTTCCTGGTGAAGTGATGCAGTAGTAGTAGTAGTAGTAGTAGTAGTAGTAGTAGTAGTAGTAGTAGTAGTAGTAGTAGTAGTAGTAGTAGTAGTAGTAGTAGTTGAGGTATGTGCAGTGAACATTAGTAGTGTAACAATAGCAGCAGGATCTGTATGGTCTGTCCAGTCCACATGAGCCCGACCCCAGACAGTATAGATCTGTAACTACCAGTGTGTGGCTTCAGTGTTGAAGGATTGAAAGCTGGCTATGGCAGCCGTGTATTGGCAGGTTACGTAAGAGTCCCCCATGGCGTCACACCGTTACACAACTGACTGAGCTAACTTCAATCATTCATGATCTCACCGTACAATTGTCTAGCATGTAATTGGTTCAGGCTGCATCATCTGAGCACATGGGTCTGTTTGGGACTAAAAATTGATTTTATAATTTAATTTCCTTGATTGTCTGATTCAGTAATAATAGGTTTCATTATTCAAATGACTGTCTGGTGTGGAGCAAGTGTACTCTGTGTGTTATTTATGTCAATAAATACACAATGCATCATACAACAATAGTGATAAAACAAAGAAGTGAAATGTTGAATTATTTATAAAATTTAACAATAACTTGTCCGTGTTTGAACAATTGAATCAAGCCAAATGTGGAATTGATGATAAACATCCTAGAAATCATTGTAAATGCCCAAGAAAGATTTTTACAAGCGATAAGATTTTCTTCCTGTTATGACACAGGGGAAAACACATGAATCATTTTGATTCAGGAGAAATGACAGATTTCACGCATGGAAAGTCATCGATTGTTAGATTTTGGACTTTTAGCTGCGTCACAGTTCAGTGAAAATAGGAGATTGTTACATTGCTGTGATAAACCAGCTAATAAATGTCTGAGTCATAGCTTGGCTTCCTCAACAAGTGGTTGACCCCAGGGGTCTATAAACATAACATACGACCCAGGGGGTTTCCTACAGGTGTGTAAAAACAAACTGGAATCTGTTGACGAAATTGTATGCTATGTGACATAGATTTACAAGATATACTAGCTTATGTCATTTCTGTTTGTCTGTCCTGACCACATAGCAGTATTTACCATTCAGAAATGTCATAAAAAATGTTGAATTAAATAAATACAAATTATTATCAGTGTATAAAAGTTCTGGTTTGGGCAATAATCGTTACTCAGTGTGGTGTTAGGAAATTACACTGTAGTCTCTGGTTGTTCAAAGACAGCTATCTCCTGAGGCTTGCTAACTGAGACTAAGGCAGGCAGAATGGTTGTAAACTGACATCTGCTTGAGTGAGCAGCTTATCAACCATACAGTGACCACTGGGCTGGCCAGATCTTGACTGGTCAGTCTGTGAGCATTGTTTATTCAACCCCCAGCCACTGGTCTTAATCCCCAGCCTTACCTGCCTGTTTATTCATGCCTGGCTGCCCCTGAATAACAATGCATATTCATGAGCCCAGTCAGCCAATCAGCACCCAGTAGTGTTATCCAGTGGGGAGGCTGTAGTGTTTAGGCTCAGTTGACTCTAAGCAGAGCTTGTAACAGGAGTTGGTTGTGAGAGCATGTGTGGATTTCTCGAAAATACACTTACATTGTAAACTCCTGCAATATTATTGCACAAAGTGAACCATTTGGGATTGGATATACTATCAGAACTTAGCACAGCACATGAGGAGGAGAGTGTTTGATTGCGTGACAGCTGTGTTGATGGTCTAGCAATGCATGAACAACCATAACAGTCTCTATTGTAGTGTGTTAACCTAGCTCACTGATTGCCTCTGTCTTACCCCAGGACTAGCTGAAGGACCTACGCTATGGAGATATTATTACGTGTTCTTCTGGTGATATCGGCAGAGCTGACCCTTGTGGCCAGTTGGCCAGATTGGCAACCAAACTCTGTTGTGAAGATTGAAGGTGAGAGCTGACACAATTCTCTAAACACAGTATGCCACATGTTATTGTTCGCGGATGTGACAGCTATTTTATGGCCTATTTTCTCATTTATTTTATCATGATCACTTAAAACAAACTGCAAATTATCAGCAAGAATTGTTTAAAATCAATTTGAAGTAATTTTGATCATGTTTGTTTTCATCACAACCAACACCTGTCCATACAGGTATGATAACTATGATCATTTGTGATACACAAAGATGAATGTGTATCGAATTGCAGCTATTACCTGTGGCACACTGCGTTGTTGATTATCCTATTTATTGCCAATACTCAGCGTAATAAATATTTGACATTATTACAAAGATCTGCAATATACACCCATCATAGACACAAGTGTAAACGTATACTGTTGTGTCTCTCTGTGCATCATTGTCATGTGGAGTATTATTGTCTGACGAGGCCTCTACTGATCCCAGCAACAATATAGGCCACGTATTGTGTAGACTGCCACAGATACCTATAATACCTCACCCAAGCGGAATTAATTCTATTTTCCCTCTACGCACATGTGTCTCCCTAGACATGTGCTGTGTTTTTTTTAGCTCAAGGACATTCTAAATTGTCCGCTTCAAGCTGACATGTGAAATTCTCCTTTCATAAGATTCCCTACACAAACAGCAGAAAGATGATATTTTTGTCCATTGATAGCCCAAGAATTCATTTTTGAAATAATCAAATTAAAACAATCTCAAAATGGGTGATAGAATTTCAGATGTGATAAAGATTTGTTTAAGTAAATTGCTAAATTGAATATAGAAAGATTTGGAATATTAGCAACACAGGAATATTTTGGCATCCAGGGAATTAATCTCCAAGCCAGGGGCCCTGCCGGCTGAAGGCTAGTGTCAGCTTAGCCAGGCGACCCCCAAGCTGTTGTTTCACACCTCAGTGTCAGTAACAGGCCTTCAATAGATTATTACATAACCTAGCCTGATCACTCAAGCCGAACAGTTACTGTCCAGTCAAGATAAGGCACAACCTCCACTCACTGATGAAAACACGCTTTACACCCACAGCCCCTGCCAATCATTCAATGCTCTGTAATTGTAAAAATTATGAAGTGAAAATCACTTCTGACCAATTGAGTTGAAATGCTATGCGCCAAATACTTTATGGGTTGGCCATTTTCCAACTTTTGCTTTTATTCCAAATGAAGCGTTTGTAAAATAAATGACTAGGGATAAGTGTCTGCAATAAATGTTAGTATTCAATTCTTTGTTCCAAATTTTTGGACGTAAAATATTTGTCTTTGTATGGTTGTCATTATTTGGCCGAAATTTTGAATGCGGTACAACACAATAATGTGAAAAAGTGTGTCTCGACAGAAGTTGTATACTACATTGACCTGATACCCTTTGGGATAGGTTAAGTCCTGCTATGCATCCTGGTAGTGCCAACTTGTCATGGCAAGCGATACAACTTGTTATCACACACAAACACGATCAGGGAAACCTATACCATCAGACTTCACAATTTTCTCATTAAAATTTTCAACAAGTGTGTATGGATATCAGATTCTGATGACTCACTGAACATCAACAGGGAGCAGAAGGGCAGCCGCATGACTCTATGAAAAGGTCAACAAAGTTTCAACTAGCCTTGCACAAATACCCCAGTGGCCAGTGTGGGGACAATAGATTTGGCGGGAGTTTGGGGGATGTCCAGTCGTTGATCTGTTCCCGTAACCGTCGCTTAAATATCTGTGCACTGAGCTTGTGTGGACTCACACTGCCTTCTGAGCATGCATGTTTGTCTTGTCAGTTTGTCAACTCGAATATTTGCCCATGGATGACGGACACAGAAAAAGTTGTCCAATCTTCATTGATTTTGTTCATTTGTGACGTTAAAGCCTTGCAAATCATGTCTTTATAATGTTGATGCTGCAAGTTTAACATTAGTTGAAATAGTGCCAAATTCAATATATTTTTGAGGATGTCATAAGCAGTATTGTCAAACGAAAATGAATGTGTCTCAACTCATCTCATTTCGGACATAAGACACATACATCTACAGAGCAATATGTAATTTGTAAATGTTGACCTTTTTATTTAGTACTGTGTATATCCAGGACTGCTTGAACACCATGTAGTTGAAAAGCTTAATTGAAATACAGATCTGCACATTTGTTTCACATTGGCCCGCCATGCCCCATTTGAGGTGAGAGTTCACTTGGGTCCAGTGTTGAAAGGTCGTCTGTGCATCACAGACTGACTTCAGAAGATAAACAGCTTTGATCTAAACACATGTAATCATGTCTTGGCCTCCTGCGTCTGCAGCTGATTGTTTCAGTTTAACTGTGTTCAAGGTAAATCAAAACCAGTTTATCTCTGCCGTGTGGCGGAGGTGCATGCCTAGTCCTATGGTTGTAATTAAGGAAAAGATGCGTTTTCTTCGTCTTGAAAGGCGAGGTATGGTTCATTTCATAAACAAATTATGTGCTTATGGGGCTCAAGAAGAATATCCACATTGGTATTGCAGGAAATCTGTTCCTTCGAAAAAGCTGCAAATAGTTAAAAACAGTACTTAAGACTATTCAAATTCTCCTTGATCACTAACAGCTTTGCATCTTTCAGAAGTTAAGGATTATGACAATTTGCACTTTTTGTTGTCTTCAAACGGTATAATGTTTACAAGGATGCTATATTTTGTCTTAGAATTTAGCAATTATGAGACAGAAGTGATAAAGTGAGAGGAGTTTGTCTCTTGAGAAGGCTAAGAGAGTGTTGTTTGTACGTGAGGTAGAGCTGAGGTGGGCAAGAGGGCTAGGTAAACATGGCGTCCAGGGAAACACTGTGCTGTCACATGTCCCTACCCCCTGTCACCCTGCAAGGCCAAAGGTCACTAACTGACCTTTAACCCTACTGGACATTTGAAACTAACCCGGTTGTAGCGAAAGGTAGGTTAATTGGCTGAGAAAAAATACAGACCTCAAATAAAGTATTGAATTTATGTGTCGAATGTTATGGCATTTATTTGTACAGATATTGCCGCAGTGAACATATTGAGATGATTCCAGTTACTTGCCTATTGATTTACCAATTGAACATATCTTTTACACTCTGGCATCGTTACCAGCATAGGTTGTTACATTGGTAACAACGAGCGTACAATATTCACTCCGATGACTCACCAAGATTTACCCCCTGTATTTGTTATTGTGATAAAATGACCCCAACCTTCCATCCCATATGGAGTTTTTATTGCATCAGTGTATTGATTTACACAACTAGGCGGGGAAAGGATGGACCCCAGGATCGGTGCCAAGCTACAGAAACCGTTCCTGCAGCTCCTCAATGAAAGATTCTCAGACTCTAATGGCCATTGATTCAGAAGTTGAGCCAGGAAATATTACGCCCCGAAGAACTACCACTTCAACAGTTCAGACATTTTCCCATAGAAATTGATTAATTGCAAACCTCCAAATGATTGTAGGTTTCGGTTCTTACTACTTGGGTTTAAACCCAACAATAACGATCTATGATAAAAAGTGACCATTATTCGAAAGAAGATCTCGATTCCTTTTAATAAGGAAAGATGGGATCTCGAGAGATGTTTTCCGTGGTGAAGCTGTACTCAGTCAATCAGACTTCAAATCATTTGTGAATTTCCTTAAAGGAAATGTACATTTCCTCCAACCTCAGCCTCATTTAAGATCCCATTTAGATCTGGGAGCTGCTCTATACACACACTTCACAAAATCAAAATATTCAGAGTTCAATATTTATATAATCAGAACATTTATCAATCTGGTTGCTGTATTACTTTCAGGAGCATAAGTGTGATAAGGCCTTTCTTATTGAGAATCACCCATATGTTAAAGTCATAAATCAATTCTTTCACACCTAGCTATGTCATCAGTTATGCATGAAAGACGGATCAGTCTCTGATCACAAGCAGAAAAATCTATTAAGTCGCCTGAGACCTGACAGTATTAAAAATAGATACCACCAGATTAGAGAGGGGGAGTTCGTTGACATTTGTTCTATTCGCCGAAAAGACACTGAAAGACCCTGTACACAAGCATGGGATGTGCTGTACATTCAAATCAGATATTTTTGGGATTAATGTGCCTGATGTGTATTTCTGTATTGAATAGTGATCCCTCCAAAGTGTAATATTGTCATCAGTATGCATGGTAAGGGTCGTAATTAAATTATTTCCTGCCCTCATCATGGCTTTTCATGGTCTAATAGTTGGTGCAGAGAGAGTGAGATGCTAGTTTCAGCGCATTCCATAACGCCAGTTTCACAATTGTACAGAGCACACATCTTGTTGTTTTATGTGCGAGATTGTCTTGTGTAGGGGGGAAGTGAAGATTTAAGGAAGATGTGCAGACAGCTGTGGTCGCAAATACTGGCTTGAATCTATTTCTGAGTGGAACATCTGCAGGCTGTAAATGATGCATCAGTGTTTGTGGCGGTGTTAGGCAACTCAGCTGTGCCAGGATAATTAGTCGGAAGTATCAACAACCCGCAGACACACTTACACAATAACTGTCCACTGATTGAGGGGGAGTCAAGCTCACATCACTGGGAATTTTAGAAAAAACCTCGTTAACTCAGAGTTCTGGGGACTTTTGAAAATATATCAAGTTGTCCATAGTTCAAGGCAGTAAAGTGCCTGAAACCTACATTCAAAAATCAACCTAGTCTTGCTTGCACCATGAGATTAATAAGTTTGGTCTTGCCATAGTTAAGTTTGTTGAGCCTGACATTTTCTGCTCATAAGAAGTTAAGAACCACCTGATTCTTTCATATTACAATACTTAATCTTGTAAAAATAATATGAAATAATATTTCAGAAAACCTGGGTAATTCTGAACTTCTTTTGAGTAGTATATTTATGCATTTGCACCAGGTGTGAGTATTTGGTATATCCGTAAATGATGTCTTTCCGCGTAAGTGTTCTCTTTCAACAATATGCCAATAGCATGTATTCCAATTAGCTTTTGGTTGAAG